CTTTCCATTTTTTGCTCAGAGACGTGTTTTAACACCCTCTAGATGTTCCAACAATAGAAACACAGTCGCCTCTGCCCGCATGGACCCGCAACAGCCTATTACCGTCGGCTCATCTGCTCCAGTAAAGCTGCAAATTACTCAGCATCCCACTAGTGCTACACAGGGAGCAGAAGTGTGAAATAATCCCTGACCATGTTCTGTCAGCTCCACCGCTCGCCTCTTTATTTGTTGCCAGAAGCTCTTGTCCAGCTCAGGTTAAAAACACTGTACTTCAGTGACATGCTGGTCAAAATGCACATGGCCCACACTGGAAAGACGTTGGCCATTTGAGTAATATGCTATGTACTAGGGATTCTCCGATCGATCGGTCGGAGATCGGTATCGGCTGATAATCGTATTTAATGACTCGATCGGTACTCGCCAATCTGACCGATCCTATGAACAGATCGCAGGTGTTTATTTATGAATTTACAAGCAGAGGAAGATGCACATGTGCACCTGGGTTATACAGATAGCAGCACTACAACATGTGAGGAGGTAAATGATGCTTGGGGGCGGAAGCGATCACTGCGCATGCGTCACAGCAGCTAAAATATATACAGTGTGGCGCAAACTCTGTTTATACAGTTTATTGGCATGATTTTGACGAGTGGTGATCTCTTTGTTGCAACCATTGTATATCCAGTGTTTTGAGCTGCTGCAATTTCTCAACCGGAAGCTCCACGAGTCTCCCGCTTATTATCTATTATGTTTTTATAAAGCTGCTTCTGTACATATTAAATGGTTATAAGAGACATGTTTAAGATTATATGCAGTAGTAATAATGTATAGGATTATATGCAGCATCCTGAGTTTATTCTCTTAGGTAAGACGAGATCTCCACTTAAGTGTCATACTTAGAGGGAAATTGTGCAATGGCAAAATTACATAAAGCATTAGGATCAGTACTCGATATTGGTCAATCACCATGACAAGGAATTGGTATCTGCTGTTAAATCCTGATTGAAGCAACCCTATTATGTACTATAGATTGGTGGGTTTATATTTTGATGATTGGATTGAAATACGTACACTGTAAAACCCAACAGTCAACTTTATCAAATGAAATGATTGTAGTTAACTCAATTTACCGAAAATTAATTCTACTCATTTGAAAAGAGTTTTGAACTCAGTGTTGAAGGAAATGGGTGAATTAAACACCTCAACACTTCAATTTAAATGGAGTAAGTTCACAATACTCTTATAGATTAGTTTTTTAACTCAAATGGTTTCCAGCAATCGGTTTCCTCAAACGGTTTGAGTTGCCTAAACTTATTGGGTTTTACAGTACTCAGTTGGTTTGAGTTTACTTTGCTCAAATTGCTTTGTTTACTCAAATGGATTAAGTTCACAGTACTCATTAGGATTAGTTTTTGAACTTAAATGGTTTGTTGCAATCGGTTTCCTCAAATGGTTTGAGTTACCTTAACTTTTTGGGTTTTACAGTGTATTCATCATGTTTGTAGCTGTGATACAGTTATATCTTGCTATTATTAAGCTGTAGTTTATATAATAATTGTATTTAATTATATAATTGTGTATTTTTAGATAGAGAATAGGACGACATGGTGGCTTAGTGATTAGCACTGTCGCCTCACAGTAAGAAGGTCGCTGGTTCGAACCCCAGCTAGGGCAGTCGGTGTTTCTGTGTGGAGTTTGCCTGTTCTCCCCATGTTGGCATGGGTTTCCTTTGAGTGCTTCCTTGAAAGATATGCTGTACAGGTGAATTGAATAAACTAATTTGGCTGACGTGTATATGTGTGTATGAGTGTGTATGGATGTTTTCCAGTACTCGGTTGCAGCTGAAAGGGCATTCGATGTAAAACATATGCTGGATAAGTTGGTGGTTCATTCCGCTGTGCGACCTCTAATAAATAAAGGGACAAAGCCGAAGGAAAATGAATAAATGAATGAAGGAATGAATGAGAGTAAAATATTTTAGTAAACCACATATGCTTTATATAATGCACATCAAGTACTATTTATCATAATACATTCAAATTATTTTAAATAATTTTCAAACTAAATAAAATAAAAATAATATATAATATAACATAAATAAATATAATGTAATGCTGGCGCCAATAGCCTATGGGTTAAGTGTGCTGACGTGCTGACATATAGCACCATGGTGCTCACGGTGACCCGAGTTCGATTCCCAGCTCGAAGTCCTATGCTGATCCTTCCCCTCTCTCTGCTCTTAATACATTTCTGTCTGTCCTATCCGAATAAAAGGTGAAAAATTCCTAAAAAAATAATAAATAAATAAATAAAATATGATGTATGTAAAATGTATAATGTATAGATTTTTTTTAATAATAATAATAATAATAATTTTAAATTAATATTAAATTTAGTGTGTTAAATGCAATTTAAAATGTGGCATGTTACAGGCTACTTAAAAAACAACAGCTACTACTGAGCCAATGAAAACACGTCATTGTTTAAAAAAATTCCCATCTGCCAGTCAGTGGCTGAACAAAGCTTTTTTCTGCTTTAAGGAACCTCATTAACAATTTACTAGGACAAAACCAGCACAGGCGTCATTGGTTTTATTTTATTTTTTTGTAATTGTTCATACAACATATGCTCTCCATTGACTCCCCTCAGTAGATTTGTCAATGAATTTCACTGAATATTTTATTAGTCTGCTTGACACAGTGTCCGCTTCCAAAACATTACGTCATATCATGAACATTACCTCACCCCTCCACACATACACACACACATATGCTCATGGCCAAACACGACATGCAGACGCATTAATGCAAACCACACATGATGACTGTGAATCCTGTAGAGGATCTGCTCGTTGTATCACTGAGCTCTCATATGAAGAGCACACAACTAAGCTGCACACGTCTACAAGCTGAAGTGGGTGGAGCCTTGACTCCCAAAGGAGCTCAGCTCAGCCAATCGGCTGCAGTGATGAGCTCATTCTAATCTGGAGGAGCCGTCTGATTGGCTGAGCTGCACCAGTGACTCTCACCTGCACAACGCAGCCTTATTTGGAAGCTGTTAAATGGCATTTTTTCCCCTCTTCCAAAGCGCAGGCATTTTTCAGTCTGTGTGCTTTGAAGAACAGAGAGATGCTATCAGACAATGCTGAGGCTTCTTCATGCCCTCCTCTGTCTTAGGTGGAGCTTTGCCAGCTTTCCTAGCAATGGAGTCTGCCATCGTGAGGAATGGCTTAAGGAATTTCTAGACTTTTCAGATGGGGTTTAGCCTAATTCAGGTGGATTTGAGCCGTGGAAGCTTCTGCGCTGGGTATTTTGTGTTTGACTTTTTTATCAGCTGCATTTTTCTTATCACATCTGCTATCTGGATTTACTCATTCAAAATGCCTGAGGCTAATTATTTGCTGTCAGTTTCTTGGGGATACATAAAGGTGAGTTCACAAATCCTCAAATGCTGTACTCTTATAGTGGAATGTGGTAGGAGGGGTTGGTATTGTTTATTACTGGTATTCAGTATGTGGTTTCACAAAGAATGATTGCTTATTATTATTAATAATATTATTATTAATATTATTAATAATAACAATAATTTATCCGTTTCCTTTTTAGCTTGGTCTCTTATTATTATTATTATTATTATTATATTGTCATCATCATCATTGTTTGTTCATTTTGTCACTTTTTTATAATATTTTTATTGTCATTATTATTATTAATAATAATAATAATAATAATAACAATAATTCATCCGTTTCCTTTTCAGCTTGGTCTCTTATTATTATTTTTTTTATTGTCATCATCATCATTGTTCGTTCATTTTGTCACTTTTTTATAATATTTTTTATTATTATTAATAATAATAATAATAATAACAATAATTCATCCGTTTCCTTTTCAGCTTGGTCTCTTATTATTATTATTATTATTATTATTATTATTTTATTATTATTTTTTTATTGTCATCATCATTCGTTCATTCTGTCATTTTTTCAGCTTAGTCCCTTATTATCATTAATATTAATATCAATAATAATATTAATATTAACATCAATGTTGATATTAATATTAATAATGATATTTATAATAGTAACATAGTTTTTTATTTGTTGCATTTTTATTATTTTTATATTTAACATTTGTTTTCTTCATGATTAGATAATTACAGTATATAAAACATTTTTTTGCTAATCTATTTTTATATGCACTCTGTTTAAAATCAAACTATATTTACATTTATATTTTAAAATAAATTAATAAATTGTTAAATTAATAACAATGATGATTTGAATTGGATGGGTTCGTTCATTTTTTACAGTAAAAATATATTTCAATTTATATTTGAATGAATATTATGTTGTCATTTTATCACAGCAATATATAACATCTTTTTAAAAGTCTTTTTTACCTCATCATTATTTTTTGCTTACTCATATTGATCCAGGTTCTTTTTAAAGCTAAATTGCTATAAAAAGCCCCAGCACATCATGTGCTGTCACTGTCCTGTTTGTTTGTTTGCACGCATTAAGGTGTTTATTTTTGACATGCGGTGGTTTCCATCTCCAGTTTGGGCTTGCAGATCTTGTTAAAAATAAGGAAAATGGTACTTTGTTTTGTAGCGTCTATCTGTGACCAAGCGGGTCATTTTGACCTGACATTTTCAACCGTGGGAGAGGGTTCTCCTGTTTTTAGAGGTTGTTTGGAGGACTTAGCCTTGAAGATGTGGCGTGTTTGATGACTGTTAGCAACACTATTGACAAGAGAAAATCCATTAAATGTTTTTTAAAAAGAAGTAAAATGGTGTCTTGTTTAGGAGTGAATTTCAGAGGAGGCGTTTCGAACAATAGTGCAGACATGTTACACAACACTTTCACACAACATATTTTTATTTTTTATTAGGATGGAAATGTGTTTTCTGTGTAGTTCTTCTAAAAAATAATAGTCACTGATGGTCAGACTTTTGTTAATAAAAGCATGAAATCATTATGCGTTTGTTTCTCTCAACAGTTCAAGAGGATGTTGAACAGAGAATTGACTCACCTCTCAGAGATGAGCCGATCTGGTAACCAGGTTTCTGAGTACATCTCCAGTACATTCCTGGGTGAGTTTCCCCACAAACAAAACAAAATAAAACAACTATAATAATACAGTATGTAGAGCCCTTAGGATAAATGAGTAAACCCCATTTTGAAAATAATATTTTTTATCAATTTCTCAGTGAATGTAGATGATACATCTTGGTGCAGTTGAACAAAACCGATTTATAAAACAGATATAGCTATTATAATAATATTTTAGTCACTGAAAACTTTTATAAATAGAAAGATAATACATTTAAATTCATGCTAAATATTACAAAAAAAAAAAATACAAACTACAAAATGTTATATGTTTTTTGTTTCTCTTGTTTCTTGCTCTTTTTTAAATGTTTATTTAAAAATGATCCCTAACACATAAATTTGGGTTACAAATTTTTAGAACGTTATTGTAAGTTATTTTGTTAGATTAGCTTCAGATTTGGCTTCAGTACTGACTAAACTAATGCACAGTATGTGCACAAATTTATTTATATTGTAAATAATATAATTGTTCAATTAAATAAGAGATTTTGTAAGGGCTATACTCAAATATGCTGAGCATACATGTATATGTAATGCAATTTTGTCATGATATACAATATTATCATTTAATTGACAAACTGAAAAAAAATATTTTTTTAAATAAAAAAAGTACTTGCTTTTTTCATAATTTAATGTAAACAAACTATTTAATTTGCAAACGGATTATTATAGTATATTATATAACACTTTACAATAAGCTATCAGTAGTAAATGTTAATGCATTACCCTAACATCAACAGTGAGAACATTTGTTACAGAAGTTATGTCAATGTTAGTTTAGTAGTAAAATACAACAGAACTTTATTAGTTATAAGCTCCATTAAATAAAACAGTTACTGATTCAGATTTTAATGACTTATTAAACGTATTAGCCTATAGATTATTCTTATTGTAAAGTGTTATCATTTAAAGAATCAGAACATTTTCAATTAACATCCCAGTCATGTTTCAGGCCAGATTAACATGTGAAAATGTGCATTATTGAAGGCCTATAAAATCACCACTTCAAAACACAGCAATCTGAATATTTCTAAAGGCATTCTGTAATTATTAATAATAAAATGCCCACAACAATATTATTCATGATTATTATCTCGATACTTTATTTAACTGAATATTGTTGTAATTGCACTATGCAATGAAGAGGAGCAGAGTATTTTTGGTGTAACTCCGAGAACTAGGACAAATGAAGTGCTGATTGTGAGCAAAAAAAAGCAGGCCAGCGGTGGCTCTGTAGCCTGACTGCCGCTGAATAATGACACCACAAGTGAGACCATTACATGACCGTAGCCCAGCATTCAATTAGAAACCTGCAAATCGGTGGCTCTAATGGCACATGCTGTGACTTTACCCACAAGCACCACTGATTTCTAGATGCATCCCTGAGCTTTTTCTCTGTTTTTTTTAGACAAGCAAAACGAAGTGGAAATGCCATCGCCACAGTCCCAGAAAGACAAGGAGAAGAAAAAAAGGCCGATGTCTCAGATTAGCGGTGTTAAGAAGCTAACGCACAGTTCCAGCCTTACCAACTCAAACATCCCTCGGTTTGGGGTTAAAACTGAAACAGAAGATGAGCTGGCCAAGGTAAATTTTTAAGCAATCAGATGTAATTAATAACATGTTAAGTAAAACAAAGACGTCCTGTAATAAAGTATAGGCTATGTTATTGTTTGAAGGTTTGGGGGATTTTGGGAATTTACAAAACATTGATCAACCCTGACAAGTTCACAAAAGATTTCAATTTTAAATAGTGCTGTTTTGTTTGATTCAAGAAAAAGTATCAGGATTTCCATAAAAATGTTAAGTTGCACAACTCTTTTGAATATTAATAAATCAGTATTATAGATATTATTTATTTAAGATTATTATTATAGTAGATTTCAGATTACAAGAAATAATGATGCTGAAAATTCAGCTTTGCATTCAAAGGAGTAAATTATTTAAATAGTTAATAAATGGATCAGGGTGGAGCCAAGCTGGAGCGCTCACTCTGATCTCCTGTCTCTGCAATGGTTGAGGACGTTCCAAGTTGAACCAAAACAAAAAAAATACAATTGGCTTAGGAGAGCAAGGAAAATTCAGCAAGTACAGCAACCAGCAGAACCTGGGAATTAAAAATAATTAAATAAATAAATAATAATTATTATTATTATTATAACAATATTATATAGTCTTAAGTGTCAGGGTGATCCTTTAGATATAGTTTAAATATGCTGAATTTGATTTGTTATTGGTTATTATCAAGCAATTATGTTGCAAACTCCAAAACAGAATGATAAACATCTTTCAATTTGTGCCTTTTCAGGAGCTCGAAGATGTAAATAAATGGGGCCTTAATGTCTTCAAAGTGTCAGAATTTTCTGGAAACAGACCTTTAACGGTTATGATGTACACAATATTCCAGGTATGTGGTGTTCGCAGTGTTTTTCCATCGTGCTCTAGTTTTTGCTTGAATGTCTTTCCACTAACAAGGTACTTCTGTGCTGTAGGAGAGGGACTTGTTAAAGACGTTTAAAATTCCCCTCGACACGTTTATCACCTATCTGATGACTTTAGAGGACCATTATCATGCTGACGTTGCCTATCACAACAACATCCATGCTGCTGATGTCACACAGTCCACTCACGTCCTGCTATCAACTCCTGCCCTTGAGGTGCGATACTGCTGTCCCAGAATGCAGTGCTGCAGACACGCTCTTTTATTCTCACTGCTGGGTGTTCAAGAGAGCGGATGGCGACGTGAGATTTTATATAATCTGTCTGTGTCTGTTTTTTTTTTTTTCAGGCTGTGTTTACAGACCTTGAAATTCTCGCTGCCATATTTGCCAGTGCGATTCATGATGTTGACCATCCTGGCGTCTCCAACCAGTTCCTCATTAACACTAGTAAGTCGTTAGCTTGATTGTAATATGACAATTTGCTATATTCCTGTTTTACTGGGTTTTTTTATGCTTAATGACATCTTTTATATTTCCAAACGAGATGTTCCTACGGAGAGTCAAAAGTTTAAACTAGTTAACATTTTTAAAGGCAGATACAGTAAAACATCGCTTTATACATCATGAAAATGTATTAAAATGTACATTAATAATTCAGTTTGAATATATTCTAATTTGCAATTTATTTCTTAGGTTCAAAGCTGAAATTTGATTGTCAAGTCAAACTTTATTTATAGAGCACTTTAAAAACACAGAAGTGAGCCAAAGTGCTGTACAGAAATATACAACAAAATAAGCATAAAAGAACATAAAATACAAGAGCAAATATAGCTAAACTACCTAAAAAGGGATAATAATTAGAACAACCAGCTAGTAAGATCAGGTGTCAAATGCCAACAAAAAATGAGTTTTAAGAGCTGATTTAGGATGATCCCTGTCTAGTGGGCAGCGGCAAATCATTCTAAAGTCTTGGACCTACCAAATTTGTTTAAAAACAAATAAAAGAATCTTAAACTGTATTCTAAAATTCACTGGCAACCAATGAAGCAAAGTGGGGGAGATGTGGTCATATTTGTGGGTACCAGTTAACAGGCGTGCTGCTGCATTTTTTTTCACCATTTGCAAACAGACAATAGCTGACTTGCTACTCCCCACATACAGTGCATTACAGTAATCTAACCGAGTGGTCATAAAATCATGAATTACTGTCTCAAACTGTTGTTTTGGTATATATTCCTTTTTTTTTTGCTAGTTATCTTAATTGAAAAAAAGCTTTATTGTTTTGTCCTTTCTGTTATAATGCTTATTATGTTATGCTGATTTTGTGTTCTGAAGACATTTCTAATTCTTATCAATGTTGACAGCTGTTTAACTGCTTTTTTTATTCATTTTTTATGGAAGCTATTCAAATGTAAATCTCAACAAATTGTTTGTTCATTGAGAACACCTTAAATTGATTGAAAGTGTGAGTAAAGACATTCAAAATGTAAGAAAAGAGTTTATTACAAATAAATGCTGTTATATATGTTATATTGTGTTATAATTCCAGAATTAATCAGTAAGAATCGCAACATAGACTCATTTTGAAAACCTACCCCTATATGCATTTCTGGAGATCACAAATTATGTAGCCAGAAGTACGTATGGCTGCATTTTGTCTTTAAAACGAACACTACGGGGTGGTATAATACCATTCAGTGGGTCATACAGTCAGTCGACAGTGGCCTCTGGTGGATTATGCAAGAACAGCAGGCACAAATGGCATTCATGAGAGAAATTTGAGATCTTAAAAAGTGTACACAGCGGCCCCTGGTGGATTTGCGAAAACAGAGATTGCAAAACAAAAAAAAAAAAAACGTAGCTTTGTGATGTATTTGGCGCTTTCTTCAGAAAGAGTCTGGGTTGAATAATCATTACTATGAAATTCTGTTATATAATTTTTGAAGAATCATGTGACCCTGAAAACTCAAAACTAATAAAATGTTATATTTTAAATTATTTTCACATAAAAAAACGTGATTTTTAAATTGAAATAATAATATGTACTGTAATATTAAGTATTTATTGTCTTTCTGATCTAATTAAATGCAGCGTAAATAACTTTATTCAAACATCAAAAAATGTAGCATCATCGCTTCCTCATTTAACAACTTGTGTTTGTTCAGTGTTCTTCACAGTTGTCAAAAACACTTTTAGCTTCATCACGTTGTTCAAAGTAGCGGACCCGTTTAAAGAGTAATCAATACATGTTTAAGCTGTTATCACGTGCGCAAAGGGTCAATCGGGTGGTTTTCACATGCTATGGATACATGTGTTTGGTGGGCAACATGTGTCTGTGATTCACACAGCTCACGTGTTTCGCCCACACGGCTGGTAAAATCCCCTCAGTGACTAACAGAGGGACTTGCACTGTTTTTCACAAGCTCAACAGGAACTTGAAAAGCAGAGAAGTCACACGTGTTGTGTTCATACCTGTGTGAGGCTGTTTTTAACCGAGAAACACTAAACAAGCCATTTTGTTGGATCTGAAATCAAATGTCAGGCTTCAAAAAGAAATAAAACAAGAAAAGTAGCATGTTTTTTTAATTGTGCAATAAAACAAAAACTTATATTAAATACTACTGTTATTCATATTAAATGTTTAATTCATTTAAAACTTATTTGTAAGCAATGTTAAAAACTAGGTAACACTTTATTAAGATGGTCCGTTTGAGGTTTAGTTGACTGTCTGCTTAAGATCTGCTGATACTGCTCCTTCAACTGATATTTAACTAAGCTAAAATTTAATCATGTAGATGCAATGTAACTTAAATTCAATAAACGAACCATCAAAATAAAGTGACTAAAAACAATATGAAGATGCTAAGCAAATCAGTCAAAAGATCAAGATTTTTAATTTATGAGCAGTAAAAAAAATGACATTTCTTTCAGTGAAATCAATTTACTTTGGAACAAATAACAGATGATTGAGACTGAAACTACTGTATAGAAATATACATCAGATTTCAGAAAAAGTGTCCATGGTGAGGCTACTCGTGATGATCTCTTAAATCTGTGAAACACATTTTGCTACACAACTGCTATCGTTATGAATAAACTGCATATTTGAAGTCCAAACAAGTCCTTACTCACCTGATAAACGTCTAAATATACATTGTGACACGCAGTGCTTAATTTATAAATTGGGAGGTCCCGGAACAGATTTGGGTAACAGATTCGGCATGTTACCAGAAGAGGGAGAGGTGTCGCGGATGAAAGCGAAAAGAGTGGGGGTGGTTGGAGGAGTCCACGGACGAAAGTGAGGAAAGGGTTGAGGAGTCACAGAAAAAAATGGAAAGAAGGGCCGGGATGCATGTGATGAGGGGGATCAGTAAAATGAGGTTCAGGATCAGATTTCAGAGGTTTTGGATCTGGCTTGTTCTGGCACAAATTAAGCCCTGGTGACACAACAACAAGCAGAGGAGAGAAAAGTGAAGCAGCCACATGAGTGCAGTTCTTACTAGAATATCACATAGCTTTCAGCTAATCAGTTTTTGTTCTTATGCAGTCTATATACAGTTGCATTTAGAATTAAAAGCCCTCCAAAATTGTTAGCCCTCCCTTCCCCAATTTCTGTTTAACATAATAGTTTTAACAATTGTTTTTCTAAAAACTGACTTATTTTGTCTACACTAGTATACTAGTATTAAGCTTAAAGTGAAATTTAAAGGCTTAACTAGGTTAACTAACTTAACTAGCAAGTTAGGGTAATTAGGCAAGCCACTGTATAACAATGTTTTGTTTTGAAGACAATCGAATTGTAATATTGCTTAGGGGGCTTATAATATTACCCTTTATAAAACTGCTTTTTTCTAGCCGAAATAAAACAAATAAGACTTTCTCCAGTAGAAAAAATATTATAAGAAATACTGTGAAAAGTTTGTTTATCTATTAAATATAATTTGTGAAGTATTTGAAATAGAAAACAGTTTTCACTGGAGGGCTAGTCATTTTGACTTCAACTGTATGTTTACTTATGTATTATACTGTATGATTGATTGTACGGTTTTGTCTTTGTCCCATCAGACTCTGAGCTGGCCCTCATGTACAATGATTCATCTGTGTTGGAGAATCATCATCTAGCTGTTGGCTTTAAGCTGCTTCAGGAGGAAAACTGTGACATCTTCCAGAACCTGACCAAGAAACAGAGACAGTCGCTCCGCAAGATGGTCATTGATATTGTGAGTCAAGCTGCTAAGTCATTAAACTTTGAGCGGATTGGTCTACGAGGACTATAATTGATCAAACTTAATTGTTTTTGCACTTTAAGCTACATGTCAGCATATAGACCATTTCAATGTGGTCATGTCATTGGCCCATGAACATTTCCTGCTTATGAAACTTGTTACATAACTGAAACAAGAGGCAATGCAATCATAATGTAATGTTAAAACAGCTATCATAACATTATTTCTCAATATGTGGCTCTTTTTGAAATTTCGGAAAGTGAAGAAATTAAAAATGTAAAACAGGAAATACATTGGGACCATTGTTTTTGTTTACATCCCTCAAAATGCTCTACATGAAAAGTAGGCATGAATGCATTTATTTAACATATTTCTCTTTAGATAAAATGATGACTATGCATGTTTTTTTTAGGTTCTGGCCACAGACATGTCAAAACATATGAATTTGTTGGCGGATCTGAAAACCATGGTGGAGACCAAAAAGGTGACCAGTTCAGGGGTTTTACTGCTGGACAACTATTCTGACCGGATACAGGTCAGTCCATTTTTGTTATTTAATATTAACATTTTATTATAATTGTCACTATTATGGTTTTATTGTATTGTTAATTATATTTGAAAAATTTATATTGTATAGAGAGATATTTTATTTAACAGATTTGTATGAAAAATATAACTATACCAAATGGGTTTTTTATTTTCAATCTTTTATTTTTGGTCTTTTATGGAGACCCGGAAAGGATGTGATGGTGGGAGAAAAAAAAAGTGGTAGGAAAAAAAAATTAAGTCATAGGAAAATGTATTTTTGAAATTTTTACATTTCCTTGCAAATTTTTCCCTTCCCTCGCAAAGATGTTTTGCGTTGTCTCACCAAACTGTTGTTCCACAAACACTTCCTGTTCACTTCATACTGTACATGTCAACCCTGCCATTTTTGTAGGGATTCTCGCGTAGTTTAAAATTCTATTCCGCTATCATCTCGTTTAAGTATTCTCCCATATTACTCCCATATTTTTAATCTTGAAAGCACGTTGGAATGAATATGAAAATGTCTGCATTCACTTTCTTTCCATTAAAGCTGTGCATCAATCATCCTATCATCATACTATCGCTGACTGACAGACGCGCTCCGTATGATAAACTGATCCCAGATCAGCCTCTGTACACGCCATTTAAAGTGGAGCTAAAGTGCAGGACACTTTAGACTTTGGGTTTGTGTTTAAACAAATACACTTAATAATTTGTAAAAATGTCCGTCCTGCAAGTTTACTTTAGACAACTAATTTTCTCTTGAATGAGCACAAACAGTTACTAAAGTAATTAAATGCTTTCATTAAAGTGACACCTCTGCTATCAAACAAAACAAAACCAGAGATTCATTTGCTGTTTTTCACTTCATTAACTTTTCTCCAAAAACCGGAGGGTTGACATGTTTAGATTCATATATAAAAGTAAATGGGAAGTGTTTATGGAACAATAGCTTTGCGAGGGGAAAGCAAAATATTTTCCTATCACTCAGTTTTTTTTTCCTCCCACCCATTTTTTCACCACCAACATGTCCCTTCCGGGTCTCCGTAATCTTTTGGATGAAAAACAAATTAAATATTGAGAAAAGTAAACAGTAATATGTTGTCCATTGTTAATGCCATCCCTCAACACCAATCATTAACACAGTTAACAAATTAATTAACATAACAAGAAAAGTAAATATAGAAATACATAAATACCAAATAAGGTATATTAGATACCTGAGTACATCAGAGAATAACTGCATACAGATGTGACAAATTTAACAAATTAATTAATAACAATAATTTAAATATTAAATAAAAAACCTTCTGATAAAATGACAAATGTTACAGGTTGCTAACACTAGGTGTAATAGGCAGGCCTTTGATATAGTCCAGAAAGGGATCCCAAGTCCAAAATGTTTTTCAGTCAGAATTATTCGCCCCTTGTTTATTTTTTCCCCAGTTTCTGTTTAACGGAGAGAAGATTTTTTTCAACATGTTTCTAAGCATAATAGTTTTAAAAACTCATTTCTAATAACTGATTTATTTTATCTTTGCCATGATGGCAGTAAATAATATTTGACTAGATATTTTTCAAGACACTTCTATACAGCTTAAAGTGACATTTAAAGGCTTAACTAAATTGATTAGGTTAACTAGGCAGGTTAGGGTAATTAGGCAAGTTATTGTATAATGATGGTTTGTTCTTTAGACTATTGAAAAAATATATAGCTCAAATGGGCTAATAATATTGTCCTTAAAATGGTGTTTAAAAAATAAAAACTGCTTTTATTCAAGCAAAATAAAACAAATAAGACTTTCTCCAGAAGAAAAAAAATATTATAAGACATACTGTGAACATTTTAGTGCTCTGTTGAACATCATTTGGGAAATATTTAAAAAAGAAAAAATAATCAAAGGGGGCTAATAATTCTGACTTCAACTGTATATTGCATTTGTAATTACTTCAGCTAAAATTCACAGAGTTTTTTTTGTGTGTGTGTGTGTGTGTGTGTGCGTGCATCTGTGTGTGTCAGGTGTTGCAGAACATGGTTCACTGTGCTGACCTCAGTAACCCGACGAAGCCGCTGCAGCTGTACAGGCAGTGGACAGACCGCATCATGGAGGAGTTCTTCAGTCAGGGGGACAGAGAGCGCGAGCGCGGCATGGAGATCAGCCCCATGTGTGACAAGCACAACGCCTCCGTCGAGAAGTCCCAGGTCATTTACATATATACATGTCTATAATAGTTGATTAGTATTATTTTACTCATCCTTTGTCTAACTATTTTTTACACTTCATACATGGTGTCAACTACAGCATATGGGTTTAAATCAGTTTTAACTATTCAGCCCATGATTTTTACAAACCTTTGCCTTTTAATAATGCTTTAGAGCTCATTTAAGTGTATGTTAACAAGTTAAAGCTTATTGTGAAATAATACTTTTAAAAATGTATTTTCATTTAATGGGATTAAAGCCTTTATAGGACACACTCATTGGAATGCTCAAGTTACTAGGGTTATGGAAAGACTTTTGGATTTGTATGATTTAAAAAGAAATTATATTGTAATCTATGCCAGTGAAGTAGGGTTGGGTAGATAGACGATGCCATCGTCCATCGCTGATAGACATCACAATGCTGAGCCAGCATCTCGATCCTCCACTCCGCCCCTATTACAGCGGCAACCCACTCACGAAAAACGCATGTTACGTGACCAGACAAACACACACACACACACACACACACACACACACAGTCATGCGCTGCAACGTATGCATGAGTCTGAGCTCCAGCACTCTGCGGGTGCTTTGAGCACAAAGCCCCAGAGAGCAGTGCACGTCGGATAGTCTATCAAGGATGTACCGCTGGATCGCAATCACTATAGTTGTTCAACAGGATATTGAATTAATCTTGTCTCTATCTAACGACTCTTCAGTCTTTTGAATCTATCAGGTAACGTATCACAGCTCTAAAAAGTAATTTTAGCGAAAACCTCAGATACTGTTGGTTGGTTCCTGTTGGTTGTGCACCTTTTACCAACCAAGTTTGTCGACGCCATTATAACGACACAGATCACTCTGCCTATTCATGCCAGAGTCCTGTGAAAAAAAAGTGATTGACAGGTGGTAATTTTTGTGTAATTTCTCTTTATTTATTTATGATATGGTTATGGGTAAAACAAAGACGATGAAGGTCAGGTAATTGAAACAGTAAGCTACAAATACTTAATTTGTTATGAATTAATTATTTCTAAATAATTAATTCATCCCCCTACGATGACGATTCCATTGTCCATGGCAATGTTTTACATTAGACATCGTACGATGCCGAATTGGTCGACATCGCCCGACCCTACAGTGAAGTTGCCATGTATGGTTCCTCGCCCAATAATGGGCTAATAATCCAGTCTTCAAATGCAGTATGTACACTAACTTTCAAAAGTTTGGGGTTAATAATTATTAAACTTTTATGAAAACTGACAATCCGTTTTTTTCTGGGATATTATTTCTGAATTAAATTTACCTGTATGCATGAGTGCTTATATGTTTCGATGGTAGACCTTTAGTGGTTGTATAAGCTATATATATTTATTATTTATGTTGTATTTATCATTTGAAATTCATTTATTAACAAATCTAAATTAGTACAGTATGTATTTTGAAATAAATATTTAGTCTTGATGGCATGTGGAAGGCGGAATTATTCATCTAAAAAGCTTTAAATAAAATAAATTTATTAAATATTTATTTTTTACTTTCCGAATTACACTTGAAATAGTCAGTAATAAAAAATTGCTAACATACATAACACTTTTAATTCGTTATCTGCAAATTTGTTTGATAAAATTAAACTTTAAAATTTACTGCTTAAGCTAATCATTACATAAATCATTTCAGTTCCATCATGGAAAATTCCAAAATTCATGACAGAATATTTTGTATTTAAACACAGTATTGTGGGAAAAATGAGAACCCAGTTCAGGAGACTCGTTTCCAGCAGAATTTTCTTATTTAGACATGTTGGTTGTTCTGCAGTCAAACAGCATCTTCAAAAAGCCCTACAGGCCTTAATGAGTTTGCAAGTGTAAAAAAAGTCCAAAATTAGTCTAAAACAAATCTAGATGGATAGGTTGAGATGGCTGAACAAAGCATGTACAGTAAATAAAGTAGGTAGGAACGTGATTTAAAAACCTGCAAACCACCAACCACAAAAGTTTATCAACAAACAAGTTTCTTCGGCCTGTATGGATCCACAAAGACACAGTCGTTGAGACCCTGCCCATAGCATTTGGCTCAGCCAGTGCTCAGAAAGCAAAAGGTTTAATGTCCCCTCACACTTCTGCTGCTACAGTTTCGAATAAAAGCCAAAGAATATAACTTCTTATTTTTTTATAAATATCACTGTTAATTTGAAACTAGATCATATCATTGTATATTCTTACAGTATACAAACCATTCTAAAACAACAACTGTTCTCTCTTTTTGTCCGCCAGGTTGGCTTCATTGACTACATCGTGCACCCGCTGTGGGAGACGTGGGCAGACCTGGTGCACCCAGATGCTCAGGACATCCTGGACACGCTGGAGGACAACAGAGAGTGGTACCAGAGCACCATCCCGCAGAGCCCGTCTCCAGCACTGGACACCAGCAGCGAGGGCCGCCGCGCTGCAGGACAGGAGAAGTTTCAGTTCGAGCTGACTCTGGAGGAAGACGGAGAGTCAGACACCGAGAAGGACAGCGGCAGCCCTCCTGAAGAAGATGAAGAGGAGGAGGAGGAAGAGGAGAACAGCTGCAGCGACTCCAAAACACTTTGCACACAGGACTCTGAATGTACAGAGATCCCACTGGACGAGCAGGTGGGGGACGTCCCGCACGAGGACGAGTACGAACATGAGGAGAACAGGGAAATATCTGAACCCTGCGTTTTAGAGGAGGAGGAGGAAGAGGAGGAGGAGGAGGAAGAGGACACTGCCAACACATAACACAGTATGACACGCCACAACCTGGACTTTTTTGTATTAGAGATGAGAAATACTTATTTATGGGTAAGACGTTAGTTTTGTTTCATCGTTTATTTTGCGTGTCTGTCGTTCTCAAGTGCTTTTTAATGTCTGTGTGTCAATCCTTCTTTTATGTTCTATTACGAGTTCATATTAGGAGAACGTAAAAATCACTTACATCATTTTTATTGGCAACTAATGTATTTAAAAACATAAAATGATCAGTTTTTTTTCATAGTATTTTTTTATTTCATGTTCAAATGGAAATTGCACCTACAGCATGAATAGAGCTTTGAGCATATGATGGAAACTAACCTATTTAATTGCAAAAGGATTATGAAGTACAACAGGAATATTCTAAAAAAGGCACTCTGATTATTCACAGTATTCTGAAGTGCCCCCGATAACTTTATCTTACATTATAACTGACTTTAAGTCCATTTCACTGATTATTTATCAGTCTGGATGTTGTATTTACACTGTTAACAAGAGCCCCTTTCACACAGTGATACCAGTAAATATCCAGATTTCTGAAACGACTTTACCGATCAATTTAAATGTGCTGTTTACACAGGCAAGAACGTTCCGGAATTTTTCTGGAAAACACCATTCACACATCCATTCCAAAATACCGGTAAATTCTGGTATCATTAACCAGAAATGAGTTATAAACAGCCGCGCTTGCATTAAACAAGAAGGGGGTCATTCTTTTTCTTGATAGTTTAATTTTTTTTTCCTTTACATTCTGAGCGCGTAAACTCACAGTGGTTTATAAGAATTGATTGATAATTTTCTGAACAGTTGACACTAAGAAGGAACAAAGAAACCTTATCTGACTAACCAGCAGCAGCTAAATGTATCTGGAGAAGGATTTAAAGCTGTTTGTTTTCGTAAACGGCGTGGATATGAATTGGTCTGATTGGTCAGAAAGACATACACATCAGCTCATTCTAAACGTGAACATTCCAGGAAATTACCAGTGATGTTGCAACTTCTCCGGAAAATTCACACATGATCACACATGAAAATTACCGGCAGTTTTTCAGAGAAGTCTATATGTGTGAAAGGGGATAAAGGGGCTAAATTCCTGTAGAATCTACAGTAACTTACTGGCAGCAGTTTGCCAGTAACTTGCTGTAAATAAACTACAGCAAAAATACTGTATTTACATTTATAGCACCATTTGCTGTGTGTATTTACAGTATTGTACATCTTTACTGTAAAATATAAAGTCATTTTCACAATGCAACTGTAAAATACAGTAACATACTGTGTAACTGTCCTCCAGTAAAACTCTTATTATTCTTATTCTTACAGTTAAATGCTGTGTAATTTGCAAAAATCATTACCAGTGTACCAATCAGAGTGTAATGTACCAAATGTACTTCCCAGAGAGTGATTTTTACTGTTATGGTCTAAATGGGATCAATGGTTGCTTGAGTATTTTATTATGCCAAGTTAAGATCATAATCAGATTCATGCTGTAGGCATTCTTTTGCATTTCCCTTTTTTTAATTAATCAAAAATATGACAAATATGTTAAAACGTATTTTTTTAAATGAACAATGATGTAAGTCCTTTTTCAATGTTCCCTGTTTGAATTCTTAATTGAATATGAAGCAGTTGAACGACACATGGATCGTCCGCCTTTAAGCTCTTTCTTTTTTTTGTTCCTCACTTTATTCTTTTGTGGTTTAATTTTTACACTCAGGAATATCTTTTCCACTCCCATCTGTCTTTTATATAAACAAAGCAAAACAAAACAATCGAAAGCTTCAAACGCTTCGTTTGTTAGGTACTTTTTTGTTTTGACTGAAGCAGTATTTCAGAAACATTTCTCGTCAGAAGCAGCTGTTTTTGTTTTTGTTTTTCCACACTTAGTTTGCTGTTTAGTTTGCTGTTTATCTGAAGGAAAGTGGCAACTGGACGCATTTTAGCTGACAAACACTTCACGTCTTCCTGATGCCTTGAATGTGTTGTTAATGGTGTTGCGTTTGTGTATCAGGCATTGTTTAAAGTGAATGGTACCAAAGTCAAAAGAAGACTCGTGAGACACCATTTTCACACTGACAGTGCACACTTTTCATTTTGTCGACCGTGTTTTAGGGTAAATGTGCAGTAGAAAACATGGCAATTTGCACAACGGCTTTTTTCTGCTTTCCAGATCTGAAAGTCATTTTTAAATAATCATTTTTGTTTTCTCCTTAGAACAAAACTCGATTTTGCTATAAAACTGTATCATAAAATAGCCTATTTAAAGGTGCAGTAGATGATTGTCTTCAGAAACATTTTTGTTGTGCTGGTTAAAAGTCTTTTCACATTCCAATAGTAATGATTGAAGTAAATGATCTAAATGTGTTTATTTGTATTTTTATATTCTGGGTAAGGCATAAGACTGAAAAATGTTCATCTACTTAAATTGCCAGGCCGATAATTCCTAAAATTCTGAGAAGTAGCCCAAACTGTCTGTCAACAAATGTAGATTTATACATCTGCCTACCCCTGTTCACGATAGAGATAGAGCTGCCAATTGTGTGTGCACACGCAAATCACGCAAAGCTTATGTAGATTTTGTCATTTTACGAATGGCTTATACGCACAGTAGTGTTGATCAGCCACTGAAATCTTGCGATGAAAGATTGACGTGACTATTTTAAATTTCATTAGGGACCTTTAGGAGCATTGATATTGTAGCTTTTTATTTAGTTTAACAACAAAACAGAAATAAATAGCGCTATTACACCTAGCCTGATTTACTGATGTGAAGTTGGTTTTATATTCACATTGGTTCAGTTTTGAACAATAACAATCTGTGACGCGCTCCCTATATTGTTTACCATGCTACTTTAAATATTCGATCTGAAATAGCATCTAAGTATGGTTTAGTAATAAGTGTAATTCTTGCACCTCGCCGGCCAACCACCATAGTCACTTTAGGACAAAGCGTGCATGAAATATTGCACATTATGACAAGTTTTGCTTGCTACACAACTGAAACGTGCTAGATATAATACTGTTTTTCATACGGAAAGTTTTGTAACTAGTTAATGACATGATCTAGTGGGATGTCTACTGTCATCTTTAAGGTGCACTTTCGTGATTTTAGGAGACATGGCTTTGGACGGCAGGGGAGGGATTGTGTTTTTAAAGCTGTTATGATAACGGTTAGCATTTTAACAGATCACCTACTGCACCTTTAATGTTTTTTGCCCCCAAAAAACAAATAAATGCTATTATTATTATCATTATTATTATTATTATTATTATCATTTAGAATAATAATACGGGGTATCATTTCATATATAATAATAATAATAATAATAATAGTGTCATTATAACACTTTATTGGGCGAAGAATAATATATTGTAACTTAGAAGTTTACAAATCTCGTAATAATCCCCGTTAAAACTTCACGCTTTCAATCAGGGCATTAAGAAGGCTTAATATTATGATTATTACTATGAAATGAATGGTATTGATAATAATTATATTAATCATTGGTATCAATTCAAACACAACACCACATATTATTGACATTAATAATAATTCAATTCAAGTTTATTTGTATGGCGCTTTTCACAATAGTTACCATTCCAAAGCAGCTACACAAAAAGTGCACATTATGACTACATTACTGTCGGAATGAGAAAATAATACCGACGATAATCTTTTATTCAGTTATTAGTTACGTTCCAATCACTTTACAGACTGTTTGGTGTCGTATGTCTCTGGCCAGTTAAAAAGAAAACCATCATAAACGCTGAAGCTCAATTCACCGCTTTGTTTTCTGTCGCGTGATCAGTGCAGAGTGTGCATCTACATCAGTAGTCTCAAACTCAATTCGTGGAGGGCCGCAGCTCTGCACAGCTTAGCTCTAACACCTGCAACTCACATCTGCTTAATAGTCTCTAGTAGTCTTGAACACCTTGATTAGTTAGATCAGCTGTGTTTGATTAGGGTTGGAGCAAAACTGTGCAAAGCTGCGGCTCTCCAGGATTTAAATTTGACGCCTATGATCAACATGATGCTGTCTTTTTTCGCTTTTTTTCATTTGACTGTATTTATGTTTCTTAATGAGATGCCAAACATTTTCCAGTAGTGAAGACCCGAGCTGCTGCTTTCCTCATCGCTGTCAAGTGTCCTACTGTACAAACGCCCTCTTCTTTTATTTCTGTTACGTTCATGTTATTTATTAATGCTCTTCGACGTGCTTGTAGCATATCGAAGCATTGTATTCAAACTGTAGCATCGCCAGGCTTGCGAGTGGGTTTTCCTACATAGTTGAATTCTACATATGCAGTAAATATACCTAATCAAATGTACAAAACTCTGTGTGATACTGACGCCTTTTGAAACGGCCCCCTTTTTTTTTCATCGCTCGCTTTATTTAAAACTCACTCGGTTGCCAAGTTGTTTGTTTTTATTAGTGGATCATGATTTTTTTTACTACTGTCTCCGACGTTTCTCATTTCTCTCTGTTTACATACGTGTATTTATTGTGCTGTACAGAACATATGGTTGCTCTTATTATGTTGTTGTAAACGATTATATCATCCCTTTTGGTGATGGTGTTGTTTAATAAGACTCTTACTGAGAGAATGTTTGTTATTCTTAGTATGTACTGATATCCCATTGATATGTGTCTCTAGAGAGATTGCGTAGAGAAGGGGGAAAAGCCAAATGATAGTCATGACTGTGTTGATTTTTGTTTTTCTTTGTAAAAGAAAGTGGCCTGAGGGTTGTGCCTTACAGATAGATCTTTAGTTTTTATCCTCTTGCTGCACTAAAGAAACTACTGGCTGGAAATTGACCTAGATGTGTTTGTCGTGTTCCTCCTGTTTATGTGGCATAAATGCTTTTAAGAAGAAGAAGATGAAAAAAAAAATAGACAAAAGCTGTCAGACCTCATTGGACAGGGTTAAAGCAGGCCAGTGTGATGGCTTTAGATTGTGTGTGGAAGCCGGTTTCTGCCAACATTGCATTGCAAGATGTCAACTTGAAGCTTCGAGGATGAACGTTCATGTCTCACAGTTCTAATTTTTCTCTTAGAATCGCTCACAATTATGATTTCTTTTTATTTTTGAGTTCTGAGTTTACATCTTGTGAATTTCTGACTTTTTTCGCACTATACCTTTATTACAGGGCTCACCAATCTCGTTCCTGGAGGTCCGTTGTCCTGCTGGGTTTAGCTCCAACTTGCTTCAACACACCTGCCTGGGTGTTTCAGTATACCTAGTAAGACCTTGATTAGCTTGTTCAGGTGTGTTTGATTAGGGTTGGAGGTAAAATCTGCAGGACACCGGACCTCCAGGAACAAGTTTGTTGATCCCTGCTTTATTATTTGCCATTGCAAATAATTCATTGGCTTTCTCACAACTGTGAATTTATAAAATCCTGCATTTACGACTGTAAGAAGAAATGTCGGACGTGAAATGTTAACTTGCAGGTTTGTAATTGAAAATATGATATTTAAAGTTGCTGTTTTTGTTTTGTTTTTAAAAACCTGCAGATTTAAAGAAATTAGTTCCAGTGTTGCCAGATTCAGGTCGTAGCTAGCCTGCTGAAAGGGTTGGGTCTTTTTTCTAAAAAAGTGGACATTTGCAGTGATTTAT